TACAGGAGTCACAGACCCAGAACAGGCATTCAACAAGTCGTTTGAATTCCTGATTCCTGATAGAAAACAGCAGCTCCTAATTTTTTATTTCTTTTTCTCACATTCAGGCTTATGAAAGCTTTATTTAGCTTTAATTTATTATAAAGTGCTTTCTATTTTATAGTCAGGTCTTTCAACAAGTGATGTTCCAGATGAAAGCTTTCACTGAAGACAGTGAAGTTGACTAACATAAAAGTGAATGTTGTGGTTTATGACACCAAACAAATGTTAAGAATTATCTGTTTGATTTTTGTGTGTTGGAAATTGGGACGAGTCACCACACATGTTTTAAATGAACAGCATGGAGTTTTGCATTAGTCGTGTTTTTTTAATAAACTTGCACATTTCTTATTGTTGCTTCTACAAGGCGTGTAAGTGAATTTTTCCAGCCTGCATTTTCATAGTTCATTCTGGATTAAAAAAGCAATTTTGAATACACTTTTTCTCTTTAAACCACCATAGAAACAAAATTAATAAAAAAAAAAAAACTGGTAAAAACAAATATTTGTAGACAGTTCTATAAATATTTGTGATCAGGTGGAAGGCACTATACTTTTAATTTCCAGGCTTACTGAATTTTATTTGGAATAGATCAAGCAAACAATATTGTCTGAGTTTTATAAAATGTACTTCTTACAATAGCAATTACAATATGTTTTAATCAAAGGAATCTGACTACAGAATCAATAGAAATACGTATGGGAGTCTAGACAGCAGAACAGTTAATAACATTTACAACATATGTTGCGCTATACATGCATCTCACAAAATAGACCCCCCAATATATTATCTGAGTCCTACAGTATAGCAATGAGCCATATACGGTGTGAATGCACAAAATCATAACCCTAACAACTAGACAAATGAAGGTCCGGCAATGGTTTTGGGGAGTAAAAAGCCCTTTTCTTAAGTAGATGAGATTGACTCATGCCAACAGCCTCTTATATACCTACACTCAATCTCATTTTATTCTCCAATGTTGGCTCTTTGTGGTGTTCATGCCAGGACCATGATAAGCAGAATGGAGGCAGATCAGTGCTCAAACTATGTTGCTTGGACAAAGGGAAAATTATAAAATTGGCTATGCTTTGTGGCTGGTGTGTCTGCGTCATAACATAGTTGAACAATAAGTTCACATTTTTTGGCAGGCTATACAACTTAAATACATGTACACAGGGTCAGACTGACAACTCTCATAGGGCCCCCGGGCAATAGGGGATCATGGGGCCCCTGTGTCCTTGCCCAAACTCAAAAAAGCCTATGAAAAAGGTACCAGGGGCATCTCATGGGGCCCCCTACTGACCCCGGGCCCTCGGGCAGTGCACGAGTTTCCAAATGGTCAGTCTGCCCCTGCATGTACAGTATTTAGCTGTTTATCTGGAGTTTAGATTTAAACAGCAAAAACACACTATTACAATTATCATAGTAAGTACCAGATCTTTTAGTGACTCCTGTACACAAAATATAACAACTTCTATACATTGGGGAGGAATTCATAACAAGTGTCATAGACACTCTTTAGAATTCTTTCAGGCCTCCACACCAGAATTGTTGGTGGTTTCAACAGACTTCTGTACCTGTCAGATCTATGGCAGCTATGGAATCTGCCTGCTGCCATCCACTGTCAATCACAAGCAAGGCAGACTTGATCTAGCCTCTCAGAGTTCTTGACATGAACCAGTCTCTCAGAGTTCCCCCATGATTGACAGTGGATGGATTCCTTAGCTACTTCACAGCTCAATAGTCATCAGAGATATAAACCAGGATTTGCCTGCAAGCAGGCTGTAGATACGTGTGCATCGTGTAGTCCACCACAGAAAAAGAACGTTAAAGACCAACAGGGTCCCAGCCTTGGGCACACTGTTGGAACGTAGTATGAACAGAGAAAGACAGAGCATAGCAGAGTGGGTCTTTTTCATGACATCAGAAATATTTTTGCATTTGTACTGTGATCCAACAATGTTGATCTTTATCCTTGTGCAGGAAGCTGTCACATTATTAACTTTTTCCCAGTACATATGCCTAACCTGAGCACTGAGTATGGGCCAATTCATAGATGTTCCTAATTACCACCGATTTGCTTATCTGTGAACTGATAGTTATTCTTTTTAAATCTGTCAAAGCCATAACGATTCTAAAAGTGGTGGTAGTAAGAAGTACCTGAATCTGACACATGTTTTAGTACAGGTACCAAAACTAGCACAAAGCTTTCATAAATTAGGTACAGGCCATTTTTAAGGGCCGACACTGCCAGAAAATTGTTGTTATTGCTATATTGAATTCCCACATTTTTTTTAAGAACTCACCAGGCCCATTACATTAGAAGGGTCACCCAAATATCAACATTTAAGTCTCATCATCACTATTAATCTCATATATTCTGATCATAGTGGGATAACTGGTGGCAGGGCAGCAGGCTCAGGCAGATATAATTTTAGTATGCTACAGACAAAAGTTCTTTTTGTAGGATTCCAAAATACTTCCAGGTTAACTAGGTAATATTAGCCCTCTAATGTTGTCTGGGTCTGTCTTTCCTCCTTCATTCCTTCTGTTTGGATCTTCCCATTTAAGCAGGAGCTTAGCCATGGCCATTCATAGATGAGACAACAGCCTCACTTGATGTCATTTTTAGGCTGGTTAACCACCAATCCAAAAAAAGAAACGATAAGCCTGGAAGAAGTCTAGTAATTGAGGTACAGGATTGGGCAGGGGGGGGGGCATAAAATCTTCGATGGGAAAGCCCGATGCAATATAAAATTGACCCCATTCTGTGTGAAAAATATGGATTTTAGTATACTACCAGAGGTTGGTACCTAACTTTGGTACTGTAGCAGCTTCACTAATTGATCTTATTGTAGTGCTACTCCCACAGGAGCTGCTTGGTAGATTGGGTTCTCTGCTCTTCTGTCTCAACTTTGAGAACAACCTCAGCCCCACTGACACACCAGGTTAAGCAAATGGATACTGCACTGCTACTGGGAACACAGATGTATATAACCTGCACAGAACTAAGGTACAGTATCAAAAAGCAAATATCAGACTTGTTAGTGGTAAATAAACCTAATACATTGTCACGGGTTGCAGTAAATAGCAGTATGCACATAAATGAGTACGCAAAGGATTAGGTCAATCACAATTCACTAGACTACAGCAGCATAGAATTATTATTATTATTATTATTATTATTATACAGGATTTATATAGCGCCAGCAGTTTGTGCAGCACTTTACAAAATGAAGGTAGACATTACAGTTACAATACAATTTGGTACAAGAGGAAACAGAGGGCCCTGCTCGTTAGAGCATAGAATACAGTTCAAGGACGCTAAATTAGATTAAACCTGGTAATCAACAAAATCAGCAATAAGTAATGGCATTTGAAAGCAGTAACACCAATGATAATCAACACTGTGATAACTCCTCTGTAACAGTAGGTTATATCCACTTTATAGTGCATGCTAAATGAATAGCAGCAATGAAATGTAAAACTCCTTAAAGCAGAGCTCTACTCAAAAGGGAAGTCTAGATGCACTATATTAAAGCGGAGCTCCACCCAAAAGGGGAAGTTCCGCTTTAATGCTTTGGCCCGCACTCCCCATTAAGGATAAGCACCTTTGGAGAGTGGGTACCCGAATTTGACAGGTAACCATATCACTTCCGCTAAAATCGCCTTGGCGTGACAGGTCCCAGAAGAATATGGGGCCAGTCACAAAGCGCAGCATTTCTTGCACATGCGCAGTGGGCACTACACCGCAAGCTGTCACAGCAGGGTGCCTAAACTGAAGATGACGGGGAGAGAAGGCGGCCGGTGAAACCAGCGGAGGTGAGGACACTGCTGGACCGAGGGACAGGTAAGTGACTGTATTTTAAAAGTCAGCAGCTACAGTTTTTGTAGCTGCTGACTTTTTTTTTTTTCATCTGGAACTCCACTTTAAAGAGGCACCTCTTACTATGGACAATAAGCAGAGATCTTATGAAGCAGCTATCTGAGTGAGCAGCCTTTAGCCCTAGTTCTTCAGTTAACTAGCGTTTGGGCCTAGTCAGAAATTAAATAACACTGAAAGTGTGTATTTTTCTTGATGGGTGAGTTGGTACAATCCCAGTGCCTTCCGTTAAGCTTATCGTTTAACTCATTGCAGTTCAGAAATATTTATTGAACATTCATATATGCAATTTCACTGTATTACAAAAGCCCACTGCTCATCTGGTAGCTTCTCATGATTCACATGCTCTCAAAGATGTCAAGGTAGACTTCAACTTCCTCCCCCAGGGAAAATTTTCATAAAGCACTCTGTACCTGCTGTTGCAGTGTAGATATTAGTTCCTTGAAGTCATCAGGTTCAGATCAGGACTTAGTGCAGGCCAGTTAAGTTACTCCACCCCAAGTCTGCTCAGTTATAGTTGGTGCTCAGTGTTCTGTTTTTAATCTCAGTCAACTAATGACAGGCAGTAATAGTAGAGCTGGTGGGTCAGAGCTCCAGCAATCAAAGTGATTAGCCAATGTCTTCAGCCAAAAGCTGCACAAGTACACTATATTGCCAAAAATATTGGGACGCCTGCCTTTACATTCACATGAACTTTAAAGGCGTTCCAGTCTTAGTCCACATGGTTCAATATTGAGTTGGCCCACCCTTTGCTAATATAACAGCTTCAACTCATCTGGGAGGGAATGTTTGGCCATTCTTCCAGAAGCGCATTTGTGAGGTCGGGCACTGATGTCGGACGAGAAAGCCTGGCTCGCATTCTCCGCTCTAATTCATCCCAAAGGTGTTCTATCAGGTTGAGGTCAGAACTCTGCGCAGACCACGTTCCTCCACCCCAAATTCACTCATCTGTGTCTTAATGGACCTTGCTTTGTGCACTGGTGCGCAGTCAGGTTGGAACAGGAATGGGCCATCCTCAAACTGTTCCCACAAAGTTGTGAGCATGAAATTGTCCAAAATGTCTTAGTATGCTGACGCCTTAAGAGTTCCCTTCACTGGAACTAAGAGACCAAGCCCAACCCCTGAAAAACAACCCCACACTATAATGCCCCCTCCACCAAACTTTACAGTTGGTACGATGCAGTCAGGCAAGTACTGTTCTCCTGGCAGCCGTCAAATCCAGACATTTCCATTGGATTGCCAAACAAAGAAGCATGATTTGTCACTTCAGAGAACACATCTCCACTGATCTAGAGTCCAGTGGTGGCATGCTTTCCACCACTGCATCCGATGCTTTGCATTGCACTTGGTGATGTAAGGTTTGGATTCAGCTGCTTGGCCATGGATACCCATTCCATGAAATTCTTTATGCACTGTTTGTTATGCTAATCTGAAGGCCACACAAAGTTTGGAGGTCTTTAGATATTGGCTCTGTAGACAGTTGACGACTTCTGTGTACTGTGCACTTCAGCATGCGCTGAACCTGCTCTGTCATTTTACGTTGCCTACCACTTCGTGACTGAGTTGCTGTTGTTCCCAGTTGCTTCCACTTTGTTACAATACCACTAAGAGTTGACCATGGAATATTTAGTAGCAAGGAAATTTCAGGGATGGACTTATTGTACAGGTGGCAACCTATCACAATAGCATGCTTGAATTCACAGAGCTCCTAAGAGCGACCCATTCATTCACAAATGTTTGTAGAAACAGTCTGCATGCCTAGATACTTGATTTTCTACATCTGTGGCCACGGAGGTGATTGGAACACCTGATTCCAATTATTTGGAGGGGTGTCCCAATACTTTTGGCAATATAGTGCATCTAGACCTGTGCACAGCTCAGACTAATAATGAGGTCTGGCTACCAGATAAGATGTGGACCTAGGAATGGTGGCTTATTCCTACCCAAAGCTTCGCCAAAGACTCTAGGCTTTAGGACTCTGCATTAGACTAGTTTATTTTCTGTATATCAGTCATCAATTCTGAAGCCCCTTACCATGTATAGCTGAGACACCTGGGTGACACATATACCCCCGTTGCCAACCAGTGCCTTACACTGTGCAAAGCAGAAATATGCTACAATATTTGAGACCAGTTTGATGAAAAAAAAATCCTTGTGCATAATTGTGTATACTAAAAATTATTATGTGGAAGGTATAAAAAGGAAAAAATAAATGGAAATAAAAACATACAGCAAATAGGGACATACTGTACCGTATCAGCATATGTATGTATACAGAAAAATAGTATTATAACAAGTCATACTAAAAATATGAAAATTGATATAAAGTATATAAAACAAAGTGTGGACTGAGTGTACATCTGAGTTACAATGTATCAACCCAAACAGATGGGTTTGGAGCAAACAAGTGAGTTCTGGGTAGGTGTCAAGGTTTACCAGTGCTGGGATTCATGTTAATATATAAACAGGAAACATTTTACTGGAAAACGTATTTACTGAATTATTTTTAACTTCTTCAACTACAAGGTGTTTTTTTAATAAATGTATCTGAGTCTTCTGTAGGAACTTTCGCACAATACTAGTTAATATTCATTACCAGCAGATGTGAACAATGTTGGTAGTGGGGGTAAAGTATCAGCTATGAAGAAGAGGACATAGCCCTTGAACTGCATAAACTACTCCCAGGTGGATGGACATGTTTTAGGCGTTGGAACTGGACTATGTTACATTTACTTTATCCTGTACCTTTGTGAGTACAATGGATTTTAGTTTTAGTCATTAAAGAGTTTTATGATAATGCGTTAAGCGGGAGAGCCTTCTTCTTTTGCTTATATTTGCCATTAAACATTTTACTGGTCTTCTGAAATATTTAGGGGCCTCATTCACATGGGGAATATGCATGCATGCCCCATGTGAGGGCTAGGTATACCTACACAGGGATACACAGGTTTTCCATGCATCCCTATGCAGGCAATCCCATAACTGTCAGTTATTATTATTATTATTATTATACAGTATTTATACAGCGCCAATAGTTCGCTCAGCGCTGTACATTACAAAGGGGGACAGAACATGTGACAGAACAATAACAATACAATGCAAAACATGAGGGGATTGAGGGCCCTGCTCTTTCGAGCTTACAATCTAGGAGGGAGGGGATGGTGGCACAGGAGGAGATAGCTGTGGGGGATGGAGTGGTAGGAAGAGTGGAGGAGGTCAGCAAGTTAGAAGGGGGTGGGGTAGGCTTCCCTGAAGAGATGGGTTTTCAGGGTGCGCCTAAAGGAGAGGAGAGTAGGTGATAATCTGATGGGTTGGGGCAGGGAGTTCCAGAGGATGGGTGACACCCAGGAGAAGTCTTGGAGGCGGGCATGGGAGGAGGAGACCAGGGAACTAGAGAGAAGGAGGTCTTGTGAGGAGCGGAGTGTGCATGCTGGGTGGTACTTGGATATTAGGTCAGTGATGTAGTTGGGGGCAGTGTGGTGGATGGCTTGTACGTCAGTGTTAGGATTTTGAATTTGATCTGTTGTGCAATCGGAAGCCAGTGGAGGGATTGGCAGAGGGGGTGGTGGAGATGGAGCGGTTGGAAAGGTGAATGAGTCTGGCAGCTGTATTCAGGATCGACTGAAGCGGGGATAGCCAGCGGCGAGGTTGGGACTCAACTGCTGCACATACACAGCTGCTGCTCTCAACGTGACATCTGTGCCCAGGGTACACAGCCCTGAACACACCCTGGGATGCACAGAACACTGGTGCATCCCCATGCGGTTTTACGCAGCCTTCACATGGGGCACAGATCCATACTCCCCATGTGAATGAGGACTAAGAGCTGCCTAATTCCAAACAGCTTGTGTAAATAAAGATTAAAAAGAGGAAAAGAGGTCCAAACTGCAAATAAATCCACGCTGAAGGTCCTGTTGTATTTTATTGACAACTTATGAAACAATTGTTTTGCTAATTCTGTATTTTTGCAGTAAACCAAGAAAACAACCCAGTAATATATTATTTGTGATTATGAAAGAAGAATAATGTGTACACAAATTATTTACAGTTACATGAATACAATACAAGGCGTACAGAGTGTTACAAATATTCAAACATACACACAGGCACGCTATCTACCTTTTCCTAGCAAATTTTCTAGTCTCTATTCAGAAAGGAATACACTAAACATCACTTAGCTTCTGTTATAGCTGGTCTGCAATTTCCATAGCAAACAGAACTTCAGGCATTTCAAACGATTGCAGGAAAAGGGGTCCTTGGTCTTGGCATGTAACAATAAAGCAGGGTAAAAAACAAATTACCACTGGCAAGTAACTAGCAATTAAACAGCAAGCCATATATTTTTTTATACATAACCTTCATGCAACTATACCTACAGTTGACAATGCAAACAAAATGCCTTACTGTGTTTGACTTACCTTTCACTTTACAAATATAAAGAATACTTGACATATACTGTTATATATAATGTTTTGCATTGCAAAATGTTTACACTAGCAGCAGGTTAAAGAGGAGAGTGTGCTCTGCAAATGATTTGGCTATACAGGTGAAACTCAAAAAATTAGAATATTGTGCAAAAGTTCATTTATTTCAGTAATGCAACTTAAAAGGTGAAACTAATATATGAGATAGACTCATTACATGCAAAGCAAGATAGTTCAAGCCGTGATTTGTCATAATTGTGATGATTATGGCTTACAGCTCATGAAAACCCCAAATTCACAATCTCAGAAAATTAGAATATTGTGAAAAGGTGCAATATTCTAGGCTCAAAGTGTCCCACTCTAATCAGCTCATTAAGCCATAACACCTGCAAAGGGTTCCTGAGCCTTTAAATGGTCTCTCAGTCTGGTTCAGTAGGAATCACAATCATGGGAAAGACTGCTGACCTGACAGTTGTGCAGAAAACCATCATTGACACCCTCCATAAGGAGGGAAAGCCTCAAAAGGTAATTGCAAAAGAAGTTTGATGTTCCCAAAGTGCTGTATCAAAGCACATGAATAGAAAGTTATGTGGAAGGGAAAAGTGCTTCGGTGCTAATAAAAAGCACTGACACTGTACTAATGGCACTGGGCAGGAAAGGGAAAACATGTGGGGTGATTAAAGGGTTAACTGTGTGCTGTTTTGCTATGGGGGCTGTGTGTGTGTTTCACTGTAAGCACACTGCTTTGTATGGCTCTGCTATGCAGAGCCATGCAAAGCAGTGTTCAGGAGCTGACAGGGGAGAGATCTGTATTGTTTACATACAGGTCTCTCCCCCGTCAGAAATCCTTGGAGATCGGCGGGTGCCGGCGGGGAATCACAGGCTAGGACCCAGTGATTGACAGCCGAGGTGATTTTGCGCACCCATGCCACCCTGTAGCAGTATTTCTGCTATAGGGCGGTGCTGAAGCAGTTAAAAAATACAAATGATATAACCAATGCTATGAGATGCTGACCACAAATACAATGCCATGCATTCTCAGGACTGCCAACCCAGAAGTGCACAACAATAAGGCAAGGTGAGTCAGCTGTTTCAGATGATTTGTTCATCATTGTCATCAGTTCAGGGCTCATCATCAATTTTATGTAAAAGTGCAAACTGTAATTTCCCATTCATACCTCAAGTGCTGTGGGTGAGTGTGATATACAGAATATGTCACAACTATGTCATTTCAACATTTCAGTTAAAAACAGAGGTCTTAGTTTAATGCTGTATGATATATACTGTATATATATATATATATATATATATATATATATATATATATATATCATATCAGTATATACTGTAGATGCAACTAAGGCCTGTTATTAATTGAAATGTTACAGTTTTAGTGTAGTTCTGAAGCCCAGGAGAGGGCACCAGGAGCAGCTGTCCAGCAAACAAACTATTACAACATAAATATGGAAACATCAGACCTCATTATCTTTCTGTTTAAAAATCAAATTTTCCCTCACAACAAGCAGTGGTTGGCTCCGCCAATCATTGCAGTATGTTTGCTATAGCCAAGATGGAGCATATGACTGTAAAGCAGAGGTGGAGCTGTCCATTCCTGTATGCACTCGGAATCTTCAAAAGGAGAAAAAGTAGTCATTTATTAATGAATATTAATTCTGCATGAAGATGTATAGGCATCCATAGAAAATGATGTCATCGGTTGGCGTACCTCAAGTGTGGGTATAAAAAACAAATTAGTCAGAAAGTTGAAAAAACTGTAAGTATTGTAAGAAACTTGCGTGAACAAGCACTGAGTAGCATTATGCTGCTAGATAGATCAGGGGATAAGTTCTTCGAAGGAAGTCATCCACATCAGGCATTAATAGTACAGTAACTACATTTTTTTTAATAGAAAGAAGAAAAACCAACAAGGCACTAGACATCCAGGATAGTTGAACACTGGACACTGATATCTGAAAGACATGGTGAGAGTGAAAACCAGATTTTAGATGATCTACTATAGTAAGTCAAAATAGTAAAGGGATTCTTTAAATATATAGTATGTCTCTCAAAACAGGAGGAAACAGCATAAGCAATACTTCAAATGTTCTGTCTATTCATGGACATAAGTACTATTCAGAGTACAGTTATGAAGCGAAACTTCAAGGATAACTGAAGCTCCTTTTACAGTAAATGTGTTTCCTATTTTCTGCTGTTCTTGGTATGTGCCTTGCCAGGCGTTTAATGATTATG